GTCCTTTCGAGTGTTGTGTGGAATGTATTTCTACGGGTGTTTTTCTATTACGCCCTGGGATTACGCCCACTGGGAATGACCCCATGCAGGCCTATTTCCGGGAATTTCCCAAGGGTGTATATAATCCCAGGGAGTAACACAACAACCCATAGAGTATTTGTCCGCAAGCGTCGAGTTTCTTGCTCCTTGTTTTGTTTTTGAGCCGGCAGAAGTGAGGCCCAAAGTCGCTTCGCAGTCCGAATCTGGTCGCGTCTCAAGACAAGCTGCGCTCCGGCCGGAGCTCTCCGTTTCAGGAGAAGGCAGGAGGGTAATTAGGGCCAGCTCCTGGAAAGTACTACCCCCTATGCCCATGTTTTTGGGGAACCATCAAGTATAAAACCAGGGGGAAGAAACCTGAGTACCTGTACATGGTTGTCGTTGGGAAGCATTTTTTTACATTTTCGCTTATTGAGGTTTACTGGTTGAAATCCAACCACTTAACTGCTAAAATTGAGAAGTTGTTGCTCCCCTTCCAACGTCAACCAAGGAAAGTAGTACCCCCTACTCCTGGTGCCCACGTTTTTGCGGGCATCTTTTGAAGCACCGGTCTTCCATGATCGCTTCGGGAAAGACGAATGGGGGCATTGGGCGTAGGGGGAGCCACGGGTCTGGTCGTTTACACCCTGGAAGGCGGAGACTCGCGGGAATCAGTCGCTCACCTGCAAAGCGAGTCGATGGCAGCCAGTGCGCCCAGAGAGTCCAGTGGTACTCAAGGATGAGCTTTGAGGGGTTGAAAGCAATTTCAGCAAGTCGTTCTACTACCACCTCTGACCTTTAACCCATCTTTTCTACGAAATCAGCTTCGGGACATCTGGGAAATCCTTGCTTTTGTGGGCGTCTTGCAAATGTCCCGCATCCTGCAGCCGACTTCTATCATCCTAGAAGGATAAAAGAAGTCAATCAGTTGATTGCATGTAGTTGGTACCCCAATCCCTATTCTCAGGGGCTCCCTCCGTCTCCCCTCCCCCCCCCCCGCCCCCATGATATTCCCTTTTGTTGGAAACCCCTATTCCCAATTTGTATTTGGATGGCACCCCAAACCCCTATTCCAATTAATTTGTTTCTTGTGGGCCTCCCGAGGTCACCGTCTTCTCCTTCCAAGAGCCCGCGCTTCGCCCCCGCGCCCTGGGACTGGCCTTCGCCCCGGAACGACGCGGCCGGGACGTCGCCGGAGAGTCGGACCGCCGCCAGCCCGCGGCGCCTCAAAGCCGCGGCCTCCATGGAGGAGCTGCCGCAGTCGGAAGAGTCTGCCAGAGCCTTGGGCCAAAATTCTCCAAAATGATGCGACAGACGCGGTGTGTGTGTGTGTGTGCGTTTTTCTATATATATATATATATGTGTTTTTTTTTGGAAACCCCCAAAATGGTCGGTTTCCCGTTGGTTTCTCCTTAAAGCCCACAAAAACAAGTACTCTAAAAAGGATACACCCTTTTTTGGTAGAATGAGTTTGAAGCAAACAACATAACTATGAGTCTTGGTGTACCGGAGTTGCGGCAGGCCGCTTTTCTTTGGCTGGGCTTTTCCAACACAAATCTAACATGCCCTTTCTGTGGAAAACCAACAAGTTGCGTGAACATCGCAAGATCCTGGATGAGCAAGAATGGGGCTTCTTGCTGCTTTAACACATCAAGTGATGAACATAAGATAATCATGCTTGTAATTGATTAGCCACCTACATCACCAAACATGTGCAATGGGCCATAATGGGCCTTTTGTGGGTAGGCCGACAAACGGAAAGGGTCCATTCCGAACCACTCCACGTATGCAATATGTACCCCCCCCCCATTTAGCATTCAAATGGGTCAAATGTCGGTAAATGCTACACAATGAAAAGAAAACACAAATGCAAACGCACACGCACACAACCATGTCCCTGTAACCAAGGGACCATCCTTTGCTAAATCAAAACAGGGGGGTTACAGAATTACTCACTCCCTGAGTTCCTGGACTTTCGTTGGTTTCGACCGTCGTCCGTTTGGATTAGTTTAGTGGTAAACCAATCTCGATCGGAAGCGAGGCAAAACAGTGGGGCCATCATTTCCAAACCAAAGGACCTGGGTTTCACCAGTCCAAGAACCCTCAAACATGCCTTTTGACTCCATAACCCTGCACCGCAAATGAAAGCAATCATACCTCTTGAGCATACCCCAAGCATCTCATGGTAATTGCTTTTATTTGGGGTGCAGGGTTATGGAGTCAAAAGGCATGTTGGAGAGTTCTTGGCACTGCGCACGACAGCACGGCAAGCAACGCTGAACGAAGCCTCGATCCGAGGAAAGGTCTTGGCTTCGAGCAGTCGCGTGCGGCGGCTCCTGGCACAAGAGCTGCCGCTGCGGTCGTCCAATGTGCCGAAAGGCCCACCTCGAAGGCTGGGGGGAACATCCCAATCCACACTATAGACTAAAATGGGTGGTGCACCTACCCCAAAATGGTACCATTGGTTTTGACCCACAGTGTTTTCGTTGGTCAGCCTTCTTTTGGAGTTTGCAATGGAAACCCAGGAACAGATGTGATCTCACTTCCTGAGATCCGTTTAGGACGAAAGGTTACTGTTTGCGAATATCATTTTAGTGGTAAACAAACAGTTTGGGCACACAGCACACAGCACACAGCACACAGCACACAGCACACAGCACACAGCACACAGCACACAGCACACAGCACACAGCACACAGCACACAGCACACAGCACACACACACACACCACACACACAGCACACACAACACACACAACACACAGCACACAGCACAGACAACACTGACAACACACACACACAGCACACACAACACACACAACACACACACACACAACACACACACACAACACACACAACACACACAACACACACAACACACACAACACACACAACACACACACAACACACACACACACAGCACACACAACACACACACACAACACACACACACACAACACACACACACAACACACAACACACACAACACACACAACACACACAACACACAACACACACACAACACACACAACACACACAACACACACAACACACACAACACACACCAATCCAAGCCACCAAGGGTTACCTGAGCATGGCTTTGACATCCCACCGTCACTGGGTATGATCTTCCGGATTCCGCGCTTAACATTGGGCCCCTTCCTTGCGAAACCCCATTTGGTGATAGGGGCAAGTCACGCAAAACCAGCCATGTTGCGGGTTCCCCCATTTGGGTTTGTTTTTAAGTATTCCATTTGCTTAAGAGTATGTGTTATTATCCCTTGTTGGCTTTGACGCCAACCCATCAGTACTGGAAATATGTTTTTGTTTTCTCCCGGGGGGCTTTCGCAAATGGAGGACATCGGGGAATCTCCCAACCGAACCGATCCCAAGCCGCCGACAGGGGCAAGCTGCTACGCAGCGCCAGTGGGCAATAGGCCGCTGGCTTTTGCTTCCAAACGCGCGGGGGTGAAAGGGTGCCAGGGAGCCCGCCTTTGGGGTCGTTGTTTGGTTTTTGAATCGGGAAACCAACAGGAACCGAAGCCCATGGTTGCGTATATTCCCCCCACTTTTAACCAGTGCCAGAGGTTCTTCGAAGCACCATGCTGTTCCTCCCACGGAATCCGTCGAAGTGGCCCCCCGGAAGTTGGCGCGCGGATGCTCGCAGATGAAAGGAATGGACACATGGCTCTTCTTTGTGTGGGTTGGTACCCCTTGATTGGTGGTTTTGAAGGGAAGCATGGACAACCATCATGGGGGGGTCCCCTAAAAAAGGACATGCCCACATCAACAGTTGAGCGAGTTGACTGTTCTTTGCTCTTTCAGCCAACGGCAAGCTCACTCAGTTTATACCGAGCCCACCATGTAGGTGCTTTACTTGGGGGATTGTGTTTTGATTCTTGTTCCTGGATTGATGGTTGCATGCCATCATTTGGCTAGAGCTGGATCTTCCTTTGACCTCCAGATTTATAATTCTTCCAAATCCGAAATTTATCCTCACTTCCTGAGTTCCTGGACTTTATACTTGTTGGGTTTCAACCATTTTGGTGGCGAACAACAAGTTCTGACTTTTGTTGACCAATCCACTCAGGAAGTGAGTATCTGGTTTTGGACTCATTGACTTGCTTGCCCACAGCGACTTGAGCTGGCCAGAAGCTTGGCCAGCCATCTTGGTCCAGGCCCCATCAGGTTGACCTTGGGTGCTAAACAGGCCGTATGCTGTGTTTTTAAGCAACATGCGCTGGGGATGTGCTTTCTAGAAGCCATATTCAAACGCAGCTGGTATGTTCTCTTTTGTGTGGCAGGGCGCAACGTTTTCTTGTGTTAACACGGTGCTCGGTTTTTGGGTAGACCACTTTGACTTTACTACCATGTGTTTATTATGACTATGGGATTGTGGCAACAATCGCTTGGCAGGACCTCGATTCGGGCGTGGCTTACGAGTGACTTGCCGATGGACTACCTCAAGTTTGCTCCTGGCCTCTCAAAGATGTTCAAACACACACTCAAAGATGTTCAAACACACAAGGCGTCCTTTGTTGTCCCGTTAGAGGCACAACAACTCTACCTTTATCTATTCGGGCGAATGGGAGCACCCATGTACCAGCCTCCAAGAGCCATGTTTTAGATGCTCTCGCCGAATGGAAGGGAACAAGAGGAACGGTGTCTCGCCAAATTGTTCCAGGTCGTGAATGCCCTTTTGGGCCGGGTTTGGAGGGATTTCATCATGCACATTTTGTTCCCTTCACTGTCCAGATTATGTGATCAGCGTCCACTGCGAAGCAGTGAGTTGTACCTTTGCCGTAGGCATGCGAACGCTCGGTTGCCACAGGCGCACGCTGAGTCATGGCTGGTGAGTCAAACGGCTTTCACTGGAGGGTAGCCAGTTGAACGAGACAAGGGCCGGACTTTGGACTGGTCCTTCCGATCTGGGAGTGCAGGATAATCTGAACCCTCCATGTTTGACTGTTTCTAGGGCGGATCGAAGTCTGGGGCTCGTTTTCCTTTATATACGTTACTTGGGGTGATTTAGATAAAGATGAAACCATGGGCCAGGTAAGTCCAAAAAATCTGAAAGTGCACATTCCGGCAGGCTTTCTTGTTTTCGCAGCTTCCCAGTAGTGCCCCATTTCTTCTGTTTTGGCTTTGAACTTGAGCACCAACTAAATGGGCTGCCTATTCTATGGCGAGCTCACCGAGGTAAAATGGGCTCTCATTATGATGAAAGTCTTTCACTTGGGGATCCCTTTTGCTTTCGTAACATTTACCGAAGGGGGGAGCTCCTTTTTTCTATGGCCTCTGGTTTGGGAGGCACGATCCTTTCATTTGGTTCTCGGTTTCCGGAGCGGTTTTTCCTTCGGGCCCGAACTAGCGGATCTGGTTCGGAAGTTGGATCTTGGAGTGCTCTTTCCCTCACCGCCAAAAAACCGAAGGGGCACTCGCATAGGCTGAGACGAATTGATAGATTCCGGGCCAGGTTTGAATCGACTCACCCGGGTTTGCAGCCTTTGTGCTGATTTTGGGAAACTAGCCACGGACAGAAACAAACAGCTTAACAAAGCGTGCACCATGTTTTTTTTTCTCGGAAGGGACGGGAGTTGTTCCCAAGGACAGTCAGAGTGACATGTTTAGCGCCTGGTTTCCAGCTCTTGATCTCCGCGTGCTCCTGTGGCAACTGCGTGGCAATTCGTCCAGAGGTTTGTGGAGCGTCGCTCCTCGTAGAAGACAACAGGGGCGCCCGGGATTTGGGCCATTGGGGGGAGCGGGGTTTGCCACCTTGGACCCGCTGGCTCCTAATTTAGTATTTGTGCTTTCCCTTTTTCTTTGATTTATGTTCAATTTTTACCCCAACTGTTTCGATCCACATAGTGAGCTCTAATTATGGTTATGACTGCCCTTCAGACCTCAAATCGGACCTGATAAGTTCTGCTGATAGAAGAAGTTGTCCATAAATGTGACGGAGTGCCCGCACTGACTCGGTGGTGCATTATGTTCCTGGTTAGACTTACATGTGACGGAATCCGGGAAGATCATACCAAGCGGGAGGTGGTTTCCGTTTTGTGGTGGGAAACTTGCCAGAACGCCTGAATTGGTGGTTTGGATTTGGATTTGAAGCCCTGGTCCTTGGGAAATTTGGACACCATCCCGAACACCTCCGAACCGGCTCCAATTCCTTGCACAGTTTGCTCCCAAAATGCAAACCAAGCCCCAAATTGGGAAATCACGGGGGTCGTTCTTGCCACTTCTCTACCTGCAATAGTTGTGAAATCCACCCCCGACTCCCCAATGTTCAACCCACTCAATCTTGGGGCTTGCAAGACTTCGCCTCCTTTAGATGCTCAAGCGCCGATCAAGCCAACTCCATGTCCAACTCGCCTTTGTGGTCCTTTCGACCAGTAAGCTGATCATATCTGCAGACCATTTTCATGCGTCAGCAACCAGTTGACTTTCAAAGGGGTCTAAGTTTGGCCAAGAAGAAACAGGGCTCCCTCCATTTCCCTTTCAAAGGTTGTGTAAAGCATTGCCTATTGCGGAGCCCAATTGACATTGGAGTGCTTTGCGTCAGTTTGAGCCTAGATGGCACTTGCCTGCTTCCACGATACCAGTGCCGCTGTTTGTCCAAAAGGACGCTTGTGCCATTTACAGTGAGTTGCCTCTACGAGAAATGATGATTTTCTACGCCAGACGTCACCAGTGATGCTTGCTACTTCAGTCGGGGGGTTCTGTTGTCTTTTTTGAATTACTTGAAAGTAGCTGCCAGACTTTTCAATGGGTGTCCTTCATGTTAGGGGGAAGCGCTCTAGTAGTCCGGCAGATTAGTTGAAACGAGATCTGCTTTTAACTGTGATCCGATGTGGTTCCTCTTTCTCAACCTTACCGCTTAGGGTCCAGGTGTGAACTGTTTAACTCCTTAATCAACTGAAAGAACCCATCAAAAAGATAAGCAACCACAATCGACCCACCCATTCCAACCGACTTCGCTGCAAACCACCCAAACGCACCTACCAACATAACCAACTTCACTGCGCAGTGAAGTGCCATTCGATGCCCAAAATGCCCTCCACATGCCGCCGCGCCGGAGACTCAGATTTGTGAGGGTACCCTTGTGTGGGTGGTTTTCAAAGGGCAATCAACAGGGCACCAACCATGTTTTTGGATCCACATGCCATATTGCAAGGTAACCTCCTATTTACAACAACTTTCGTCGAGCGTGTTGCAACGGGCATCCACCCTAGCGGGTAAGTGACACTTAGCAGGGGACAGTCCCAGGCCTAAAGTAGGTGTGGCCGCCCTTTTAGTTCTTTACATGCTTTGGGTAGAACACTTTCATACCAGGCTTTGATCATCCTTTGAGGGGTTCCAGATGGGAAAGGGCAGCGGTTCCGGGGGGGGGGTGCTGCGCATCGGGACCCCCAAGCTTCTCAGCAAGGTACTCAGACGAAGCCATGGCGTAGTGACACTGTACAGCCAGGAGGTGCAACATGCTCGGTATTTCTAGTCTATCCCAAAGGAAATAAACATACACACACACAAGCACATACACATGCGAGATCATACGAGTGCCCAAACCTGTGTGCTTCCCACTCATCGCCTTCAAAGCTCTTGACCTACTCACCTGGCTGCATTCGAATACAAGGCACCCCGTTCGACGAGAGGCATTTGGACGCTTGAACCAATGCAAGTGGGTTCAGGTTGCGACAGCATTTCTCATGCTGAGGACCTGTGAAACGCGAGGATGAGTTGGACAAGCTACTTAGGCATCGGATTTTGCTTCCAAAGGAGCGATTCTACGGGGTAGCCTCAAAAAGGGTCCGGATGCCTAAAAATGGGCTCACAAGCGCTTGAAATGATCAAACACCCAACGATCCCTTGTGCAAACATAGCCGCCACTGGGAGCTTCCATGTTTCCTTGAGGGATAATTGGTTTGGTTTTCCTTTGGTTTCAGAATTACCAGGCACCAATGTCTATGTGCCAGAGGCTTTGCGATCGCACATCTTTGGCTGGCGAGCTCTTGTTACCCTATTGGATAATGCGCTTGCCAACATGCAACCCATCAGAAGGTCCCAAGAGGAGCCGGCCTTCTAATGGCCTCCGGCCGTCCATGAATGTTGGCAGGTTACTATGGGAAGAAAGATCAAGGCAGTTTCAACAGAACCGTCTCGGAGGACGCAAGTTTTGGGCGAACTCTTGGGGGTTCTTGTCGGCTCCCCAGTAGATCGATCCGGTCAAATGGGTGCCAGACATCGGAACCGAAGAATGCGCCAAGGGTGAATGACCCGTTTGCGTTCAACGCAGATTTAACGAATCTGACTTTGCCGCTGTTTGGTCGAGGATTGAGAAGCCGGTAGCCCGGCCTAAGATTCTGCTTGGATAGAAAGCACCTCAATGGGCGCTCGTTGGGGCAGTCTATGACTTAAATGTGGAATACGGATGTATCTCAGCCCGAGGGTTTAGACGCTCATGCTGTTGCTTGTCTTCGGTTTGTGCTGGCTGCCGTTTTGAAGGAAGACCAAGCTCATCCATCAATCTTAGGATTCCTACCCCCCCTCGCTGAACCCCCCCTCTCCCCCAGTTTTCCACCAAGCAAAAACACCGAAACAGGGCCTCATGTGAGCCACGTGCTCAAAGCCCGGGTAGATGACTCATGGGCAGTCCCAGCCAGAAATAGTTAGATTATTTACATGATTCTGGGTAGACCGAATTTTAATACCGGGTTTTGATTGTGACTCATGTAGCCTTATTTGGAGGAAAACAGGGAAGGGATTTGCATGCCTTGCGCAGGGATCTGCCTGCCATGGGCGCCTGGATCTGGTCGCAGCCTTGGCTCATCGACGATGACACCAAGGCGCTCGCGTGAACGCCTTCTTTCCTAGGTCCCCCAGGTGCCCTTTTGCCCTTTTTTGGTTGGGAGGGTTCCCTGAAATAGACTACAGAAAAAAGGATACTCTTACTCTAACCTCTCTACTGGAGGGTCTGGTTTCGATCCAGCCTACCGTGAGGTGGATGGACAACATCCACTTCGCACCAGCGAACTGATGCGAAGTGGACTTTGTTGATGAGTATGAGGGCCTGGATATGTCGAATAGGGTTGGGGCTCTTCAAAGCCAAGTTTCAAATTTAGGCATGCTCATGTTTAAGATAATATGTGCAATGTGTTGGCCCTTTGTTCAAGTCTAGGACCCATGCTGGGATGCTAGACGCATTTGTTGTTTGAGGTGGCCCACAACAAAGATCAAGACCAGTTTGTCTAATGGGCATGTCAAGAGGATGCGACTGTTTGTTTTGTTAGCGAAATGCGGTAAAGCAAGTGATCCGACCAAAAGGAGAACCCAACCCTGGTAATTTGCGGTCAATGACAGAGGTGCACTTGGTCCAACTCCAGTCAAATCCATCTGGAAACAGATCAAACGCCGTCAAGTTGCCCTTTAAGTTTCCGGTCAAATCCCCCTCTACAAACCAGTCAAGTCCCCTCTAAAAACCGGCATGGGTTTGGGTCTTGTGACGTGGGTCAGAGGGTGGGGGGGGGGTCGGGGGGAGCGGGTGTTGTTCCCAGCGGTGGCTAGTGGACAGGAGGATACCTCTTTGATCCTGGGCACGATGCGACTCGTCGCGTTGTCAGAACGCATCGTGCGTGTGCCAAGGTTGGTAAAGCCTGCTTTGATCCGAAATCACGGCCATTTATCCCCGGTCCTTAGATTTCCCTCTTCGCGGTGGGAGCACTATCACCTCTTGGCCCAAGTTTGATGAAGTTGTCTTTTGAAAGGATTACATTTGAATTACAGGGACAATTTTGAGTCGGAGTTTATGGCGGATGGTCCCAAAGCAAACCGTTTTTGAATATGTGGCGTTTTTTTGCAGACCTGTGGGCTGCGGTTATCTTACGAGAGGCAGGTTTTAACAGACCAAGGTCATGAATGGGCCGGGTCGGAGGATCTGCTGTGGATGGAAAATGTCCTGCACCAGTTGGGATGGACGAAGCCTTATAAATACTGTTCGACAAACCGCTAATCCCGACTAGTGCGAAGGAGATTTCATCCATCCGCCATTTGTTTCAGAATATGTATCTTACTGTCTTACTTTCCCCGGTCGGTTTCTACCTGAACCTATCACTGGATATGTTGGGCTCCAGGGGAACTTAAGCAAAGGGATGATCTAACTTTGGATTGGCGATTCCAAACGTCCAGCTTTGGCCCTTGGAGGTGGCAAAGCGAGTTGCATGGCTCAACAAGCCAGGGGCTCGAAAGAAGCGGAAATGCCGAGGGTTGCGCAAGAAAAGACTCGACTCTGCTGGATTGAAGCTGTTTATTCTTGGCCCAGACACCCGATCGTTGCGCATGTTTTTGTTGTTGTTGTTGTTGTTGTTGTTGTTGTTGTTGTTGTTGTTGTTGTTGTTGTTGTTGTTGTTGTTGTTGTTGTTGTTGTTGTTGTTGTTGTTGTTGTTGTTGTTGTTGTTGTTGTTGTTTTTGTTGTGTATTTTTTTGTGCGGAGGGATGTCCCTTCCAAAACAACTAGCAAGAAACAACACGACATTTTTCTCATGGCCTCTGCGAATCTGGGATACACTGTTGGGGTTCTAAGTTTATTTTTCCACCGTGGCTGCCTTGCAGGATGCAGGATGAGGCCTTCTTTTGTTTAAGGGCGGGAAGCCCAAAGCACCAAGCAGTGCATTGTCAATATTGCGTGCTTCAGCATCATGAGTCTGACATGCTCTTACGTTTGAAGATGTTTGTTCAAATGCACGAAGAGCCTTCAGCAACAACAAGACATTCTTCTTTGCTCTATGCTGGTGTGAATGCCCTGTTTTTTGTCAGGCTAGCCATGCTGGCGTTCCCACCTGCCTGATTTTGATTGGTGGGGCGTCCAATTGGGTATGTGTCAGAATGGGGTGCCCAAGATGGTGTCTTTGCCGTCGGGTTTCCTTTTAAACCAGCCTGAAAAGGTACCCTCAAAAACACACCTCCCCATTTAAGAGGAACTGGGGTCTCCAAACCCCAAACTGTTTTATGCTTTAGGGTAGACTAAATATGAAGCAGGACCAGGACATTGTGGAGCACCCTAAAAACAAACGCACACCCACTTATACTAAGCTGAACCGGGTCATTATGACGAAACGCTCATTCGGGGGTCGATCCATATTCTTAGTCCTAAAATGACCATGTAACTTGTTTCATGTGGTGAAAGTCATTTTTGTTGGTTTTCCTAGTGGTCATCCCATGTAAAGGACCTGTTCATCAACCCCCATGTCGTTGCCCTTCGAGGTTTGGCCACCTCGCCCAGCCCATCGACTGGCCGGAGGCGGGGGAGAAGCTTTCTTTCTCCTGAAGAGATGCATCCCAAAGTCACATGGTTGAACTCCCAGCCTCATGGTTGAGTCCGTCATGTAGGTTGAAACGTAGATGTGGCTGTGGTTGTCAAAACCGTTTTGGGACCCCATTTCGGGGTAGGTGAATTCAGCACCCATTTTTTGAACCTATTTTAGTGGGGACTGGGATGTTCACTGGGGGTACGATTTGAGTTTTGACCCATGGCCGCATCTTTCACAAGCGCGTCCTGAAGATCAGCTGGAAGATGTGATGTTCAGCATGGCAAAGAAAGGCGTGCTGTGCGCTTCTTGAGCGGGCTGTGCAACTATACTCCCCTGCATCATGAAACCCATAAACCTTCCTTGTTCGAGTTGTTGGTTTTCTCTTCTTCTTGAGGGGTGGGGGTGAGCAGCCTTTCTGCCTTTCTGAACTTTGACTTGTTTGTGAAGGAACAGAAGGCCACGCCTGGAGTTTGTTCTTTGGGGTCATTGTGTGGTTCCGTTTTTGAGTTGCTATCCTTTAAGTTGGGTTGGGAAACCCACTTGTTTTGGGTTCCCTCAAAAAGACAACGGTATCATATAGCGACAGATTGATACCTTCTTTGGCTGCACATGATACTTGTCTTGTATGTGGGGGCTGCGGGAGGTTTACTAATCGAAAGATGAATCCGGGCATGGATCTAGGAAGTGCCGCTGGTGTGGCAGAGTGTGCGGCAGGCACACCTTCAAAAACCCGAAGCCAAACTACAGCAAGGATCTATATGCGCCAAAGACATGCGATCAATAGCAGTGCAGTGCGTGCACTGGCGCGTTGTAGCGTCTGCATGGACAAGACGGCCAGCCACATGTGCCTGGATAAAGTCATGGGCCCATGAAAGTGCGTGCGGCGGCCTTGCAGGGCGTGGAGTCGCGCAAGCCGTGGACAGGTTACTCGAAACTTTTGAAACAGGAGGCATCCTGGTGAGCCTCGATTTCGCAACATTTTTTGATACCGTTCAGCCGCAGATAGCAATAAAATGCTTGGAGCACCTAGGTTGCCCTTCCCAGATCACCACTGCTCTGACAGTCATATGGCAACAGCGAAGGTGGTTGGGATTCAATGGCGAATACTTGCCCCAACCTTGCCATGTTACCAGCTCTTTGCCTCAAGGGGATGCGGTCAGCCCACTTTGCCTCATAGCTTTGCTTTCAGGCATTACTCACTTGGTCGCGCAGCATGACCAAGCCAGAGGGGAACAGCACACGCTGGTCACCTATCTCGACGATAGGAATCTGGTTGCCAAATGTCCAGAACAAGCAGCGCGCCTGTGGCACGGCTGGCAGGACATGTCTGGCCATGTGGGCCTGTGGGAAAACGCAGACAAGGTTAAGGTGGTGGCGCGCAAAGCTGCGCACAAGCCAGCCCTGATAGCAGCCGGGCTCGCTGAGCATCATCTGGTAAACACTACCAGAGCGCTGGGCATCGACTTTGCTGCCAAGTTACGGACGGCTGATGGCTCGAGCAAAAAGGCATGATCGCATTTCACTGTTGCCTGTCCACTCCAATATGAAAGCTCACCTCGTGGCAAGCCAGGCCATACCCAAGGCAATTTGGGGTGCATGGACAACGGCCGTGCCAGGCAAGCCTTTGACCGTGTGCATCAAGCATGCTACGGGAGGAAAGCATGGCGCAGCAAGCAGTGACTTGTTCTACATGCTGGCAGGCCACGGGCTCAGCGCCGATTTCTGTGCAGGATATTCCGCCTTTGCCCACCTTGCAATCGTGGTTCGCCAACGGGCACGAGCATGGCCAGCCCGCTCTCGAAAAGGCACGTGGCTGGGAAGAGTGCGCGATTGGCTCACAGCGCTGGGGTGGCAAGAGACCGGGCCTTGGACGTGGCAACATCCGGACTTGACGCCAGGGTCAAATAGAATTGACCTCAGAAACCCAGGCACCGCCAAAGAGGGGCATAGCTTGCGCGAAACATGGCGCCGTCAGAGGTTTGTCAGCTTCAAGGAAAGCGGAAGAAGGGATGCAAATGCCGTTCGTCCCACGGCAGTCTACTCCGAGACTCGTGTGACAGCCGTCAGAAAAGCTTACAGAGAACAATGCACGCATGGCAAAGCTGTCTTGATAGGTGCAGTTGTTTCGGATGCAAGAATGCACAGAATCCTTGGAGAAGACAGGCAGGCATGTGCTTGGTGTAATAGCGGTGAAGCGCCCACTTAGGCGCACATGGCATGGTCATTGGCACAGGTGCTAGGATGGCCGTCAGGCAGTGATCAGGATGATGCTGTGCTTGCACACTTGGCTGGCGTCAGGCGGAAAGTGCTTGACCGGAGGTACCGAGGCAGCTGATGAGGGGGTTCCTGGGTGGTGCTGTCTTTCAGGCACATCACCTACACAAACATGGCCCCCTTTTGCGGCCATCCTGGCCGACGGCTCTGTGGTGACTTGGGGACAGGCCGGTACTGGCGGTAGCCGCAGGCGGGTGCGACAGCGGTTGGTGCGTGTGCAGCAGGTACAAGCAGCAGTCGGTGCTTTTGCTGCCATGGTGGCTGATGGCTCTGTGGTGACTTGGGGCGCTAGTTTGTCCGGAGGTGACAGCAGCCAGGTGCAAGAGCAGTTGCTGGGGTCCCAGCAGATCCAAGCAACTCGTTGTTTGCTTCCATTGTGGAAGACGGCTCGGTGGTGACTTGGGGTGATGCTGAGTGTAGCGGTGACAGCAGCCAGGTGCGAGTGCAGCTAATTCGCGTCCAGCAGATACAAGCAAGTCGGGCTGCCTTTGCTGCCATCCTGGACGACGGCTCTGTGGTGACTTGGGGAAATCCTGAATTGGGCGGTGACAGCAGCAAGGTTCAAGATCAGTTGGTAGGTGTCCAGCAGATCCAAGCAACAGACCGTGCTTTTGGTTTTCCGGCAGTGGCGGATCCTCAGTCTCCAGCGAGGGAAAAGCAAAGCCACAGCCAGGCGAAACGGTCTCATTTCACGACTGGTGGCTTTGTCCGACACCCCAGCCCTCCAGGCTGCCAAGTATCATGAAATAAAGCATTGCACACCTAATGCAAGGGCTAAAACATGTTTGGTTTACTTACTCATATATGATCACGACTAAATGTTGGTTTAAAGTACCTCAGAAGCCCATTTCGAGTTCTTTATGCCTTTATCCGGGCTGTTTTTATCTGATTCCGCAAGATGGATCATGCGGTTTCCCTCATTCCCGCCAATTAGGGATCTCCCATCTTGTGCGGAGAATGCCCGAAAGATTGCCAGACCATACTTAGCGGAAGGTATAGAGGGTATCCTTGTTCCCTTGCAACGCGAAGGGTATCAGGGCTTCAAAACGGTAGTCAGAATCCGAGGATCCATCACTTCCTGGAGTCTCAATCCGACCCTTCAAAACTGGCGGTTTCTCAGCAGAAAGGCTGACCCCATGTTTCACGGGTCATGCAAAATGGTATGGACTGGCAGAAACAGTGATACACTACTCTACGCATACCATACCTATACATATCGGCATGGGGCATACGTCAGGGGCAGCGGTCGGACGCTTGTGCGACGCACAGGTGGCTGACTTGCTGGACAGCCTCAAGGCGTGAAGAAAAAATATCGGATGCCGAGACCTTCTGGATTTTTTGCTCATTCTTCTTGCCCATGTGTTTTGGTTGGAAAGGGGGTGTTCCTTTCAATCCATTTCACGAAAGAGTTGGAGTTGTCATTTGGTTTCTGCACTTTTTGGGGAGCTTTTTGGGGGAAGCTTTTTGGCACAATTTTTGGGGTTGGAAGGGGGAGGTTTTTTCCTTTTTCCCACAGGTCCGGGCCAAGCTTTCTATCACTCGGAAGTATCCAAAATCCAAGTTGGGTTTGGTGGCTTGACTGCTATTGGGTTGGATCTTTAGACTTGATTTTTTTGGGTAATCAGGTTTTCCACTAAACCCACAAAAAATGAAACTTTTTGCAGAGGGATCAGGAGCAACCAAGGTGGAAGCTGTTTCTTTTTTTTGGGTGTTGGCCAACTGCGAAATGGATTTGGTCCATATGGCTGTGGCTCAAGAAAGAGGTCTTGCTCCCCGTAGATGGAAACAAAGGCCAACATGCGTAACCCCGGCTCCTAAATTTTGAGCCACACCCATATCTCCATACCTCTCCCCTTCGACTGTCTCCTGAAGGAATTGCTCTCAGAAAAGCAAGACCCCGGCATGAGCCACGGTTGTTTTTCATAAGGAGATCCCCAAAACCGGTTTCCCACACCTTTTTGTTGATTGGGAACCATGCCAAGTGAGGCCTTGACAAGTCCGGAGCGGGGGGTTTGAGGGGCTTGGGATCCTATGAATGGCCGTATGTCAACTTAGTGAAGTTGTAGGTCCCCCAGTGCCCTTTCTCACCCCTTTTTTGGGGGAGGATTCCCCTACCAAGATAGACTTCAGAAAAAAGGGGTACCTAGCCTTATTCCAACCTCGGAGGACCTAGAGTTGCTTTTGCTAGTCAGTCAACTAGGTTCAACCTGGGAAAATTATGATACGGACACATTCTGGAAGTGGCTGTTATTTGTGGTCGTGTGCTTGTTGTTCAATGCGCGTTGGATGCGTGTGACGCTTTGATGTTTCTTTGGTGGCATGTTCGTTGGCATTCAATCAACCGTCAAAACATATTCATCATGCCTTTTCGGGGGTTGCGTGGTATGGACAGGTAGCTTGCCCCAGCCTTAAACGATCACCCTTGAAGAAGGTGGGAGTGCAAAAAACAAATCCCTGAATTGTCCGCTTGGCTACATGTGAGAGACTGACAAATAAGTGGTTACTTGTTGTCAGTTTGGGGAGGATGAGAAGGGGCCCCCGCCCAAATTTGCCTGCAGAAGCCAGGGGTAAAGACTATGTCTATTTTTCTATGTTCTATTGGGGAAGTCTTCAAACCGTTGCCCAGGGCTTGGATTTGATGCATGGCTATGAATTTTAAGACAACTTTTTAGAGTTGGAACCACCACAATCACATGAGCCACGAAAAGAACAAACAAAACAATGCAAACCATAGCGGCTTGAACATGCTAAATCTCTCTGAGAGGTACCCCAGGCGATGGTCTTGCTACAGGAGCTGGAGATGCAGGGCAACAAGGACGGATCCGTCGACGGATTCGCCGAGGAGCTCATATTAACTCAGACACCCAGTGGATTGCTTCCGTTTGTGATGCAGCCTTTTTTTGGGTGGGGCGGGTTTCCCTTGGTTTAACATCAGTGGGTGCATAAATTGTATTTTCAACATGTTGTTTGGCTGGAACCTTTGTTTCTCTTGGAAATCCGCTGGTGGTTTACTCTTGTCTTGGGTAGAGGGAGCCCTGCTTACAATCTCACCTTGAATTCCCGAATTCGCACAAGTTTTAGTCCATTCCCAACCACGTTTGAAATATAAGGTGCCAAACAACTGCACGTAACCCTTCCATCATCATTGTTGCAAGGCGAGGTGGACGGGGGCGTGCAAAACTGCGGCCCTAATCAAAAGGGCCTTTGATTTTCTGTTCCCGAGGCTTAAGACTTTGCTCAAGTGTTTGGTTCTTTTGGGGGGGGGGGTTGTCTTGCCCGGATTCTCCTGAGACTTTCAGAATCGACTCGAATGATAGGGCTGGGTCATGGAGAATGGGAAAACGACACTTTGATGACATATGCCCGGTGAAATCCACAGGGTCCCATCCCAAAGTTGGGTCAATCATTCAAGAATTTCCTACCCAGTGGGTTGCTTCCGTGTGTCCTTCTTTTCTGGAATGGATTTCCCTATAAATCAAAAGCATCTGTTGTTCGGGTTTTTTCCTCAAGCTTCCCTGTAACATTTGCAACTAAAAAGGACCAGTAAGTGAGCGCAGAGTGTGGGATTCAGAGATGCTGATGTGATGGAATCTGGGATTCCATCATTCTGTCCCTAGCCATTCCGGTCTCAGAGTTATTCCCAAAGGTATTGCGAAATTGGCGGTTGCAAGCACAGGAACCTGGTTGCAAATCAGCTGCCCAGATAGGTTCACCGGCCATTGGAAGCATCCCACTTGCAAACACCCTGTAAACGCTCTCCCATTTCCGTGTGTTCTTTCGGTGGCAACTAGTTTTCTACTTCCCCTGTCGGCTTGAGGATAATTTTGTCCTGACCAGAAAATAATTTCCTGTTTGTAGTTTCCTCCCTAAATTATCCAACGGTCAGTCGTCATCCTTTGTTCTGCCAAGTTGAGAGGGGGACAGGAAAACTTGGTGTCTAGCCGTGTTCAAGCTGGCAAACTGGGCTTCGTGTGGGTGGGTTAATGGTACCTTGGGTGGTTGTAAAAAGGCTTCAAGTGTTGGCAGCGCCAAAAGTCAGTGGGTTTTGGCATTGACTTTTCCCAGATTTGCTGTAGGCTCAAGCCAATAGAAGATACGGACCCATCGGCAGATGGTCGGTTCAAGGGGGTCCTTCCATGCCCAACTTGTTTGGGACCGCCAGAGGCGACTCGCGGCGTCGGCCTAGTTTGTTTGTGGTTTTTTGACGACGTCTCTAGTGGTTACAAAGTCACGGTAAACGTTTCTTTTACATTGATCCCATATTCCAGTAAATCAATACTGCGCAGTCAAATGGAATGCTTCCAAATCTGGACTAACTAAAATTAGGGGTGTCGGGTTATTGCATCCTGGAACTAGAGTGATCGGTTCCTCTTTGAAACGCTTGATTCCACGGGTTGTTGCGATTTATCGAATTGATAATATACTTCGCAATGTGTTGTGTGGCAGCAAATGGAACTTGCTACGTCATTATCCACCAGTTTGATGAATTTTCCCAATGGGATTGAGTGATAAACAATTATTTTGCTTCTTTCCCTAAAGGTGATGCACAGGGTTTGCTTTTGTGTGCAGGTCCCCTTTCTAGCCCCGCGATCCAAATTTGGGTGTATCTGAAAATAGTACCCCTCCAAGATGGTTCTCCTTTCGGTAACATGGAAGCTCCCCCAATTATTGGCCTCTGTAAATATAACCAAGTCTTCCAAAGGGTCCTGCGAGCTCTATGGAAACGTTCGGAGGAGGGTACCTCCACGCTGCAAAAACTGATGGTCTCCACCGCCCGGAACCCTCCGCATCCCTCATCCAGAACCCTCCGGAACCGACACAGGTGGCCGACCCCACGGACTTCATCAAGAGGGCTGTGGCCGTGGCGCAGGATGGACCGAGCCGCGAACGGCAGCTTCGCCACTGAACTGGCTGGCGCCATAGGTTGAATGAGATGAACCGTTTTGGGATTCCCTAGGAAACCACCCGCAACGGAGGGTTACGGGTCAAGCACCAGCAAGGAAAGTTTGGGGTTGAAAAGACATGGTCCTCTTGTAAGCGGCCTAAAAACACAAATTATCCATTTGAGCAATGGGAACCCACGATTTATAGACCACTGGGGGGGCTCCCATTTAAGAGAGGATCCAAATCACCGTAATACATGAGGTTGATGATTCCGCGGTCGACATTAGGCTCGGGTCTGATGAACCCGGGGTCAACATCTCCTGGCTTTGCGGAGTTCTTGTATGAAGCAGTAACGACATGTTGGTAGGACCAACAGTCCTCGGATTTGGAGCGCTGCTCAATGCGTTTTGCGGGAGGAAATTTTGCCAGCAAAAGCTTCCGTTGAGTGCGCTCCCGTTTTTGGGGGGTGCGTGCCAATTCAAGAATGGTAAGGTTGTTTGGTAACATGCGCGCGGTGACCTGAAGACCATTGTGTTGCGGGACAACTGGACACAGGGCTATGGGCAGGTAAGGAAGTCGTCAAATTGAGGCTTGCAAATGCAGCAAGTACAAGGTTGCATGCAACACTGGCAATGCTAATCTGAATGGGTATCCATCCCGGCAGAGTATCAACCCTTTTTGGTGCGACTCCGAAGCACCAGTGCACTGACGACCCTGTCTCTACGTGCAAAAGAGACACGCTACAAACACCGCGTGATGGGCTGACAGAGCCTCGCGACTGATGAAGCAAGGGTATGGCCCCAGCCTGAAATGGGTATGGGCCTGGGTCAAAATTAAACCACCAGCGGACAGCAGGTTTTGGTCCATGTTTCCACTTACTAGAGTTCCATTTGGGGTACCTATTGTTGACCCACAGCCAAATTGCGATGGTTCTTTTTGTAAGTGCTGAGCCGGTGCGCTTGAGCAGGTGCGCTTATCATGTGGCAAGCGTGGGCGCGGTGCTGTTCGGGTGGGGGGGGGGGGAGACTGTTCTATGGGGCAACCAACGCTATTGCGCCGCCCCCCCCCCGCCGGGAGCCGCAACGCTTCACGGAACGCGGGGGCGCATGGAATTGCAACGCGCACTTGAACCCCCCCTGCTGCGGGGGCAATTCCACACTCCAGATTTGGGGCAAAAGAGGACTTGCATCTTTTGCCCTTGCCAATGAGGAGCCCAGAAAAAGACCCCGAACTCCCAGGTGTAGGGTTGAACCTTTCGGACAACTAGTTCTCCGCTTCGACCGACGCGCGTTTGACCGGAAGGTTGGGGGCGATGAAATTGAGCCCGCGGTGCGGGCGCCAAGCGGGAGTCGAGCTTGGCCTCGTAGACAAACCTAGGTTTGTCAGTAGTGCCCTTTTGTGGGGGAGGGTTCCCCTACTAAAATAGACTACAGAAAAAAGGGTACTCTTATTCCAACCTCTTTACTGGAGGGCCTAGCAACAGAGAAAATGTTTGGTAGTGTGTTGTTGGTTTGGGGAGGACAGGTGGGTACAACCCAAATGTCGCGCAAAAGTCATTTTGTCCGGGATCGTTCAACAATACAGCTCAAGCCGCGCAACTTGCAACAAGCTTGCCTGAGGCGAGGGAAACCGACGATGAAGACCGTCCTTGCTTCGGAATTCCTGGTTTCCCTCTTGTGACTTAGAGTAGATTGTTCATCTCAGCTTGCGTTCCAAGACTATGATCAGTGGCTCTGTGCGGTCTGATCCGATTGCCCTCTGAGTCATGGCCGGTTCTGGTCCTCATTGGTCTTTGAAGAAATCGTGGCTGTGAGGCTACGAGGTTGTTTGGCTCCCCCAAAACAAGTTTTGACCCCAAACAGGGCGCCCACACATAGCCTTATAGACATGTTAGTAAAACCGAGCCGTCAGTCCGAGTTGTGGGGCGCTGCGGAGGTGCGGCCATTGCCGCTTCAGACTGCGGCACATGGGAGTGTGTTAGTAGGAGACAGTTGGTTGGCAGGGAGCTTGCAGGCTTCCATACGCTTCACCTTGCTCATTTATGGTTAAGACATGACCGTTGGTAAGTTGAGGCGAGCTTCCCAAATTCGCGCGGCGATGTTTCAGTGGGCTCAGGGGTCCGCGGTGACCGCCCGGATCGCGGAGCTGAACGAGTCCGGGACGCTGGAGCCTAGGTCTCCCAGCAGTGCCCTTTGACCGTTTATTTTTTGAAAAAGGGTTCCACTAGAATAGACGTCCTGAAAAAAAAGGGTGCCCTTATTCAACCTCTCTTCTGGAGGACCTAGTAAACATGCTAGGGTGTGCTTTTTCGAGGGGGATGGATTCCTGGGCTGACAATTCAAGATGTAAAATAAGATTGGCCCCCAAGAAAAAGGTAAGGCTGTTTCAAAAAACAGAAAACGGGGAACCCCAAATGGTTTTCCTCTTGCTGTTGTTTGAAACCCTGATCAAAGCACGGGCGCCCCAACAAGCGGACACATTCCTGCAGGTGCAAACCCCACCTGACATCAATGGTCTCTACCCTTGATGGACCAGCAAGGGAAAACAACATGCAAAGTTCAATACCAGCACAACTCATAGGACATTGAATTGCTGGCCTTAGACCTTTCAAAGACACATGGCTTGCCATCAAACCTAGAAAAGGTAAGACCTTTTGATCAGCTGGCAGCTCAACCCAGATTCACAGGACATCGGACCAGCGCGACATGTCCTCTGTTTTCGACTCCCCAAGCTTGGTGCGTTTTGGGGGAGTGCGCGGCCAGCTGGACCCATGAATTTGAGTCGTCAAAGTAAGAAACCGAGGCTGGTTTACGTGCAGCGACTTTGGGGCTGGGTTCACCGAGACGCTCAGGGCTAAACACTTTCTATTTTGTAAGCCCATCCGTTGTTTTGGACCAGAAGTCATTTTCCCAGGGTCGGTTGCCGTAGTGTCATAGTCCAAGACGCGACAGCAAGTTGCTTCCCATCCAAAGATCCAAGCTTGGCCCTTACGCACCCTGCGATGCCTAGCTCAAACTGGTGCAACCACTTTGAACATTCGATTGCTATGGCGGCTTCGAGAAGCCACACTGTATCATGGAGGCACCCTCCCTCCAACGCTCTATCATGCTTGTCGTGGGAACGTGGGTTTGGGAAACCCTACGGTTCTGATACCAGACCTCGATTTGAATAGATTATGAGTCATGTTGAAGGCCTCGCAGAAGTGGTTGTAATTCCCACCCCGATTTGTTGGTCGTCATCTTCTGGAGAGTTGGATCCTCAGTGTCGTTGGAGGATTGCCCACTCTGTCCTGGGGGGTTCAAGTACAGGGGCCCGGTCCTTAAAAGCTGGGCCAAATCCAGGATACCTCCAAGTCGTGGTTTCATGCTGCCATTCCGATTTGATGGAAGCAAAACCGCTGCTTTCAGTAGGGGTTAATGTCAAGGGTCAGAAGGTCCACCATGCACCCGTGCGCCCATGCTGTTCCTGCGCAGCAAGGCTGGCCGCCCCAATTGACATCACTGTGGGCGAGGATTTGGCCCGCTCCAGCCTCACAGCATGGCTGTTGTGAAAAAGAGTTTGACATGTTGCAAGCGATCCACGAGCCAAACACATATAATATGGCTGTGGGTCAAAACCAATGGGATCCCATTTTGGGGCAGGTGCACCACCCATTTTAGAACCTGGTTTAGTGGGGATTGGGATGTTCATTGGGGGTACGGGATTTTGACCCATGGCCATATGATCCATCAATATTTGCACTGGTTTTCTCCATCGCTTGGATCGGGGGTTCTGCCAGGTTGATTCATCCAGGGATGGCACGGGGCCGGTCTCAGCGGGCCTTTTTCTCGCATATAAATGACCCCCGATAAAAATATGGGGCACCATTGTTGGAAGGCTTCTCCTTTAAAGTCAGCAAACAAATACTTCGTTGTTGTTTTTTGCGATGGAACTCCTCAGGTAACTCTCATGTACCGGCTTGAATCGATTGGTTTCCCAAAAGGGGCCATGGTGGAAATTCCGCAGCCCCATGCCAAGGCCCGAGTTGAGGTTGTCAGGCATTGATTGTTTCAGTGGGGGTGGGTGGAGGGGGGGGGGCTGATTTGGACTGATTCCGAAGACCAATTTCCTTTTTCGGGCCAGCCCCCCCCCCAACCCCGGGTCTTCAGCTGCTAGTTTTGTTTTCTCTTGGCAACCATTGGATCGTACATGTCGTTGTTGGGCTGGCTGGCTGTCGTTTACCCGCTCAAGAAAGGAGCCCACCCCCACCCCACAAAGCAGAAGTAATTAGTTTGCACCTTGGTGTCTCTTTGAAACCACTCCCAAAGGCGACCCTTAAACAAAAAAAGGCACACACCCATAACCGACTTTAGGAAGCTCACTTCCTGAGTTCATGAACTTTAAACTTTTTGGGAGGACCATTTTAGTGGTACAGAAAAAGTTTGGACTTTTGTTGGGCCATCCACTCAGCCAGTGAGGAAGGGCTTTCAAATAGCCCAGGGCTCCCGGAGAGCGATGCCCTTGAACTGCTGCAAGAAGTGGCCAGTCGAGGCGCATCGGCAGCGTTTGCGGCACGCGGGTGGCAATCAAAACACCCCCAGTGGGGGAAACCATTAGTTACCAGATTCGCTACGACACATACTCACTTCCGCCGCCAAGAGAAAAGCCCAAACTACTTGGGGACCCCCCAAATGGTCCATGGTTCTCTCAAAAAGCGTAAAGTCCAACAACTCAGGGTGCAAGGATATAGTCGCCCCTTCTAAACCGCTTTAGCCAACCGCAATCAACACAGGGTGGCATTCTGCGCCTGTTTTCGGTTGGGATTGTATCTTCTACCCGGGGGGGGTTGACTGGAGGTTGCTAACTTGAGTCCCAGACCATTCAAGAGGTGTGGGAGGCCCCCGATGGCTACTGTAATACTTTTAAGAAACCCGGAGTTCCGGAGGTTCCGGTGTTCTTCTTTTCATTTGTTATTCGGGCGCAAGACTTGCGCCGTAAGCACAAACCATACTTGTGTTGATTGCCCCAAAAGGGAACCAAAAGGGGATGGGTTTACTTTCGTTTTTCCAGGCCGCCTATGAAGTACCCAGGGTGTCTAGATGAGAGGGGCGAACGCGGATTGCCAAAATAACTCCATATTCATTTGCCAGGTTGCCTATTAGCTAATCCGATTTAAACATCACGAAATTCAAAAATACCTGAATTTCAAAGAATGGTAGTTGTGTTGTCTTTCAGGTATATCAAACTTGGTGGCTCGCCCAAATACCTTTTGCAGCAGCTTAAAAAGGGAAACAATGATGAAAACGCCCCCATCTCAAAAGGTCCTGAAGGAATGGCGCAAACCAAGCCTCCCAATGTCGAAGGTTGGTGCGGGAGTGCTCACCTAGGAATTCACAAGCAGGACCCACGTTAATACCGCAAGAATGGTAGGTTGTGTGGGTACGTGCTAGCTTTGTTTGGGTGGCACCAACACGCAATGGGATTAGGATCCACCTTTGCATTTGTTGAAGCAACGAGAAGCACGACAATAACAAGCTTTCCTGCAGAATTGTTGCTTCTTGCAGAACTAGCTCTTTGGGTACATGTGGGTGCCTCCTGAAAAAGGCCCCCACAAGTTGCTCCTTCCTAGTCCAGGGCTTCGAGTTTTGCAGAAGCCTTGGTGAAGTGTTGTTGAAAGTGGCTCACTTCCCGAGTTGATGGACTATTGCACGTTTGCGAAGAGCACTTTCGACAAGTATCCTCATCACGCAAAATGGATAGCGGACAACATTACGGTATCGGTCTGGGGTAGGCCCTTTCAGTCAGTTTTGCGGGTTGAGACTGTTTTTATATGTTTTGTGGGTTGATCCTTCTCAATTTAGATAGTAATGTGGCCAGTTTGGATACCAACGTCCCAGCCGTTTGCGCGAGTCGCCATGCCCTTTTGCAGGTGCTGGGGTCAAAAACCCCACGGGCGCCATCCGCTTCAAGTTGAAGGCGGGTGCTTCGCACGGTTGCGTGGGTTTTGTGTGGGTCATCGGAACAGCCAGTACTTGGCTTCACTGCTCTTGACATGTTTGTGTGTGTCCCTTTGTTTGGTTCTGTGCATGGTTAGTCGGGGGGGGCTGTAAGCCATAAATTGTGTCCAGGGTTGCAGAGTTGGTGTAAGGGGTAATACTAATCCTTCCAAGGGCCTTTTATTTCCATCTCCAACCGAAGTCACAGTTGTTGGGACTTCAATCAGGGAAACGCGTTCTTGTGACATCGTCAGAATTTCTCAAGCATGGGTCTTAGGGAACCCCTCAAACAACCAATTTTGAGATCTCCTCAAAATGCAACCGCTCAATACTGTGGATGGACGGAATCCTGCACCACTTTGAGACACTGTTTGAAGCCACTGTTTGCTGGTATTTAAGGGGGAATCATCAGAAACCAGGATTTCTTAGGTGGTGTAGGATTTCGTCCACCCGCAGTAGGACCCAGTTTGCGCATCGAGAACACTGAGGAGCGATCGTTACCGCCAGGCGCGACTGGCAGTGCTGGATGACAGCAAGATCCTGAAGCGCCAAAGCCCCAGTCATCGACCAGGTGTTCCCATCAGGGTTCCGGAAAAAACAAAAAGAAACAAAAAAACACATATACCAGCTGGGGGCAAGAAGATCGTTGAAGGAACGTGGCAAATCATCCCTGAACGCAATCTGATCAATCTTTTTGGTGAGTTTTGGACCCGAAAATGGAGTCCAACCCCGGGTTCCAATTCTTACTCTACCAGGTAATTTTGACAAATCCCTGGTTGATTCATGAGATGGTGGGAGGGAACACCTTTTCCCCAAAATGTAGGACGGGTTCTACGTACTTCGATCCGGGATTACTTGTCAGGTGACTGGGAAGCACGAGGTCTTTTTGTCATCCTTCCTATGGCAAAGTTTGGGCCTGCAACTCAGAGAGGGGGATGCACTGCAATCCCAGCCCTTTTCTGGGATCGCTTTGCACCTGAGGTTCACTGAATGCCAACCGGATTGAGCATATGATTATTTGGTGGGACAAAAGCTCAGGTACAAGTTTACTGGAGGACAGCTTTCTCTGTGCTTCTACCAAACCCTTGCCGCCCAAATTATTCAATTTCACCTTCTGTTTAGAGGAGCTCCCTTTTTGAAGTAAAGTCGAAAACAAACAGCAACAAAAGGCACTGGGCTTCTGAGAATAACACATTCCAGCTGTTCAGTGGCTCGGTTTTTCCCTTTTTGTTTGGCGGCTTTCCCACTAGACATGGTCAACCCCGAAAGCGGCTCCCTTTGTGCACCAGGGTCACTGAACAGCTGGGACATGCTTGCTTGAATCTATGTTGCACCTGCGCATACTCCCCCAAGACTTGAGGAAGATATTGGCCATCCCCGTCACCGCCCATGTTTATTTGCTCATGAATTCTTCCGCCCCTCCCCCACCCCCAAGCGTCACCCTTTGTTACAGGGACAATGTTTGGAGATGCGGTTCAACTCACAAGCATGCAACCTGGCAAGAGGAAAACCCTTGTTGTGTCCATTTGAACGGCGAAGAAGGCTGGGGACCTCCGTCTTTTCTCCGTTGGTGAAGCCACCAATTCAGGAATGCCTGATCAGCACAAATGCAACTGGCGGGCGTTTGGAAAATCATCTCCGGGAAACCTGAAAAATTGGATCCTGTGTTGGACCCCTGCAGAAAAGAAGCCCAACAGAATTGCCATCAAAAGACACGCGCAGATGGTATACTGGGGAATCATCACTGGAGCCTATCAATACAACGGGGTTGATTGATATGGGGTCAACATTAAAGAATCCCTTTCAACCGTGGTGAATTTGAGTACGATGTTTTTCGGGAACTCCTTTCAATCGTGGATGGAGGACATAAATCTTGATGGTCTCAAAGCGGAGGGCATTCGAGCTCTGGCCCCCGCAAAAAAAGAAGAAGTCCGCGCTTGCTCTGGCATTCGATTCATGCGAGCTTGTCGCGCGAGCTTTTGGCTGAGAGAAACAGCGAGCCGTGCCAAAGACAGTGCCTGGGCAGCTAGGGTTCTGGATTCGAGCTCTTCATGGGGTCTCCCTCCATATATTATGTCATGGGTCAGGCTAGACAAAATATGGACGATTGACAGCATATCATAGGATGTTGTGTGTACCCCAGAATTGGGCCATTCCTGAAAGATGGATCAAACAGGGAAAACAATTGGCGAAGGGGTTCCGTTGGTCGCTCCTTTCCTATCGGATTAGTGTGGAATATGTGTCAGCGGTTTATCCGGCCATGCCAGATGGTCGTGGCTTCGTTTGTTGCCGTGATGTCCCATCACAGAGAGGGATTAGGGAATCTCTTCCTCCTATTTGGGGGAATATGTCTCAACCCTTTTTTTCTCGGTGGAATACGATGCTCATGTGAGAGAGAGAGAGAGATAGAGTGAAACAGACAGACACAGCCACACGCAAACACACACAGTCGACAGATACAGACACACAGACGCAGACACAGACACGCAGACGGAGACAAATGTAGAATGGCCACAAAATAATTGCAGGTGGGTAAAGATTTGGTTGAGAGTTGAACTGGACATAAGGAATCGCGGAATCTCACGATAACTTGGTATTCTGAGTTTTATTTTGTCCGGAAGATGTTAGACAGCATATGACAGCATGTTTTTCCCTTTTTGTTTTTCTCCGGGTGGAAATTTGTTCGTTTCCCCAGCATTCACAAAGCCTTACAAGGCTCTTTGTTCAGGATAGCGGGGCAGGGGGACTGAGGGGGTTGGATCGCGGAAGCGGTCGACACCTTAGAAATTGAAGTGTTTTTTACAGTGATTTTTACAGTGGAAGCTTGGCTTTAGCTACACCCAACAAGGGGTGGATTCGCCACTCCCATTGTTCTTTTACGGCCACTGTCTTCCTGAATTGCTGGACCTCTTAACACATTCCTGAGAATGGGCAAGGTGCAGCCTGCAAACAAGGGTGTGTGTGTGTGTGGGCAGCTTCTGATCGCAGGGCCCCCCGCGTGTGTATGCGTGTCTCTTGTTTCATTTGTGGGTTCTTCAAAGGATTACTCTTGCTTGATCCCAACTTTAGCCACCGGGACTGTGTGTTGTTGATGGTGCTCTGTTTTGAGTTGGTCTAACGGGAAATCACCAGGATGACCACCATTTTGGGGGGTGAAACTCCCTGTTTCGACACCCACGTGTCAACATGTGTTTTGTTTTCAACCATCTTGTACGGCAGGGAGGTTTTGATCAACAAGCCCAGGTGGTATCCCCAGCAGCAACCCCCGAAACACTTCCGGAACACGCTTCCTTGGGCAGAGTTGGAGGAAAAATGGATGCAGAACCCTCCCAAGCAAAAATCGGTGGTGTCACTGCTGCTTTCCTTCAGACCCCCCAAATGTGGGTATCAGCAGAAAGGACTCCATGTTTCTTTCTTGGCCCAGTCTGGGATCGAAAAGTGGTGACATTAAATCACAACCCAGAGATGGAATTTAATCTATTGAATATTGTTTTGAACAAAAGGCTTATTCAAATTCACTGATTTGAGTAAAAACTTTATTTAATTTGTCCAGGGTTTCAGCCAACTTCATGTTGAACAAGTAATATGGTTGCACGGCCTGTCGCACCGCGCAGTCAGGCGGCGTAAATCTCTGTGAACTTGTCGCATATGGGACGAGGGCCTCATTTTCCCATCTGTTTTAGGGTAACCGCCAGTTTTGACAAGGTTAGTAAGGGATAGTCCCAACCATAAATGGGGGCAGCGCAGCAGCCTTTTCGATTCTTTACATGGTTTTGGGTAGACCGTTCTAATACCGATCGGTTTTGATTGAGCTTGACTCCAATAGGCTGTTGTAAGCCTTAAAAGCGGGCTTCAAGCTTCTAATTCGACCTCAATGACGTCAATGACCTTCTCTCCATTCACAGCTCCGGGAACCAAAAGTACGCCGACCTGTAGGGCTAGGTCCTGAATTGATGGGTCAGTCCATTGGTTCTTCCGGGTCAGTCCATTGGTTTTTCCGGTCTATCATTATTTATGGCAAGTTCACTGGAGGCAATCATTTCAGGTTTTGGAGTTTTTACAATTTGCACGTAGGCCAAGCAACACATATAATGGGTGAAGAACGCTTGTAATCTGGGTAGTAAACAGCTCATAGTTTGTTGAATTATCCAAAGATAAACCTAAATTGAATGGGGTTTTCTTATTTTCTCACAGACCCCCTATTCAGCATCCAGTATTTATTCTGCCTCGTACTGCACTTGTCGTTTGCCATGCGTTCGTTTGAGGATGCTGCGGCTCGCATGGCTGATTTGGCCCTGGATCCTTGTGAGGAGCCAGGACGCTCCGAAACGCCGAGACGTCCGTTTAAAAAAGGGTGGCGATCAGCAGCGTCAAAAAGCGCTGATCTAATAATAAATGAAATGCACTATGCATATGCTGAAATCAAACAAAGTGAACAACAAATCAGAAATAAATATATTGCGATGCATTTGCTCAACAAATCCATTTCGCAATACAATATGAGCAAACTAAACACTGGAGGGGTCGCTAAAAAGAGATCCTCCCCCAAAGCCTTGGGCTTTACATTTAAAGGGCGAACCAAGCTCTTCCCAGCCTAAAGGGTAAAGAAAGGCCTGAGAGCTAGGAAGCCCATTTTGCAAGTCGTCCCCAAACCATCAAATTTAAAGATAACTTCTGTACACAAAAGTAACACAAAGGGGGTTGCGCACAAGAGGCCCTGATTCTATTTAAAGTGACGACAGTTTTGGGGATTTCTTTAATGTCCAACTTGTTTGAGGGGATTACTGAAACTTCCAAATCAAAGCCTTAGCCTTTACTGTTACAGGGCGGTTCGCCTACCCAGCTCAAAGGTAAAAGAAAGGCCTGAGAGCTAGGACATCAATTTGGCATGTGGTCCCCAAACCATCAAACCTAAGATACCATCTTAACAAAAACCAAGCCCGGCACAAAGAAAATTGGCCACGGGGCCAGTGATCCTGTTCAATGTCCTTAAGACTGGGGAATATAAGAGTGAGTCCTGGCAAGACAAAAATGAAACTAGGCAATACTAAACCAAGAGCCGGGAATCCAAAAGCAAGTCACTAAATTAGACTAGGCAATACTGAACCAAGTGCTGGGAATCTAAAAGTAAGTCCTGGCAGTACTAAATTGGACTAGGCAATACTGAATGTAAGTTCTGGCAATACAAATTTTAGACTAGTTTCAGCTCTGGGCATGAGCATTGATGTTGCTGTTGCGACCGAAATGTCCGGGTCTGAAATTAAGAGCAGTTCGTGCTGATTTCGAGCCAACTGCCTTCACGGCAGGGCAAGCGAAGGAAACAACCCCCCCTTCATTGGAGCCACGGATATTGAATCATGTTGAATCTGCTCAGTGCACACAGAGAGATCACCCATGGATTCCAAGAAACCGAAGGTGAGCTCTCAGATAGCACCCGGGTCCAGAAGCTCCCTTTTACAGAGTGCTTCAACAGACACCAGGAAGCCCCACCCAAAATAGGTTTCTTCTTAGCTTAAATCGGTGTCCCCTTGAACATGATTGCAAAAA